TATTATTATTATTAGTGTTTTTAATAAATTATTTACAAGCTTTTATTAATTAATTTTATTATTATATCAAATATTATTTTTTATGATTACCAACTATTGAAGATTTAAATAATTTTGTTTTTATTATTTTTTTACACACTTTTTTTATATTAATTTTATATTTTAAATTTTATTATTAAATTTACTAACTAATTAAATTATATAAATTTTGATTTTAAAATAATTGTATTACATCCTTTATATTTTTTATTAAAATAATTTAATAAATAATATTTTTATATATAATTTACTCCCTTATATTTATTATAATTTTTATTAAAAAAAAACTTGAATTATTTATTTACATACTATAAAATTGTTTTACTTAATTTATTTACAAATAATTTTTTACTTACTTTTATTATATTTTATAATAAATATTTTTATATAATTTTTATTTATTTATTACACACTGTATTTAATAAATTATAAAAATTAAACGAATAATTTTATTTATACATCCTTTTTATTTTAAATAATTATATAAAAAATATTTATATTTTTAAAATAATTATATATATTTTTTACGCCCTATTTTAAATAAAAATATATGAATTATAAAATAAATATAGTAAAATTTTATTAATATTTTTTTTTTTTTTGTAAATTATTAATATTTTTTTAAAAAGCATATATTTTCTAAAATAGTTAGTATATATATCAAATACTTGACTTATAACCAAATATAGCTATGAATAAATAATAAAAAGTAACAATTAAATGTGAATCTAAAAAATAAAATAAAATAAAATAAAAATAGATATGATAAATAATTATAATTTTCCTACCTTTAACATTCTAATTATATATATTTATATTTTTTTAGCAAAAAAATTTAAAAAATATTATATTAAATATTCAATATTAAAAAAATTTTAAAAAATATATATTATTAAAATTAATTTATAAAAATATAATTATCTAAAATTATATTGAATAATTAAAAAAAAAAAAATTAATAATCATAATATTGAATATTATATAAAAAGAAAAAAAATAAAATAATATATTAAGATAAATAAAATAAATAATATTATTCTTATATAATTTGACAAAAATAATTATTTAATATATAAAAAATATACAATTAAATATAAAAATATATAATTAAGAATAAAATAATTATTTTATAAATCTATAATAATAAAAAAATGCAATATTACATATTATAATTATTATAAAATATATGAATTTATTTATATAAATTTTATTATAATATCTAAAATTTTGCAAAAATATTTGTAAATATTTTAAAAGATGCAAATTTCTAATATATTTTTATATTATTTGATATTATTATTAAAATAATAATTTAAAATAAAATAAATAATAATAAATGTATATATAATAATTTTTATATAATAATTTGAATATAAAATAAATTAAAACATAATACATTATTTTTGTAATTAATGAAAAAAAAAACATTAATTTACATATAATTATATAATATTTATATAAAACATAAATTATTATCTTTCAAATTTAATTTTTTTCATAATAAACATAAAATATAAATTTTGTAATTATTATATTTTAATACAATAAATATAATATTTTTAAATATAATTATTAAAAAAAATAAGTAACATTGAATATATATATATATATATATATATATATATATATATATATATATATATATATTTTAATTTATAAAACTATTAATAATAAACACTTATATATAAGCTTAAAATCAGTAATATTCCTAATTCTAGATTTTCAATAATTAAAAACAATAAGTACCTTATATAACTCTTTATTATGCTACTTTAGCGGATTAAAAAAGTTTTTTTTTTACAATACTAAGTTATTTATTAAAAAAATGAATAGTGTTTTAATAAAAAGACAATGCGATCAATTATAATTGTTATTATTATATTTAGATTTTTTATATGATTTTATGAATATGAAATAACAAATATTTTAAATTTAAAGAAAATTGACTTTTGATAAATTTTTCAAAAAAATTACTTTTAATTTTTAGTTATATAAATATATAAATATATAAAATTATTTATATTTTAAATTATGATTTTATTTTTTATCATAAATATGTTTATACATTTTTTTTTTAAATAAAAAAATATTAATGATTGTCTTTATTAAATACAAATTTTATATTTATTAATTTAATTATATTTTTGATAGAGAAAAAGAATCATTTTTTTAATATTTTTTTTATTATGAATACACATAGGAATTATATTTTCAAATAAATTTATATTTATAATAGCGAAATATAAAATAAATTAATTATATGCAATTAATAAAATTAAACATATTAATTTAGTATAAAATTAATAAAAAAATATATCACTTTTTTTTTTTTTCAAAAATATTTAATAATAAAGTATATTAATTAATATTATAAAAATAATTTATATCAGAAATCAAATATTAATATAAAATAATTATTTATATTTTTTTAATAATTAAAATTTATTCCTATTATTAAATTTAAATCTTTAATTTTTTATATTTTAATTTATTTTTTTATCTAAAGACTAAAATATATAATTTTTTTTTTTTTACACTTAACATCCATCAATAGTTTAAAGTCCAAAAAATTCTTTATTTAAATGGAAAAACTTACACTTTTAAAAAGTCAATTTATTAAATAATAATTGCTTTGATAATAATGCATCAAGAAGAATAAAAATATTTTTTTGTTTTATGCAATATTACCTCCTAAATTATATATATTTAAATACAAAGTCTTTTTATTCATAATTTGTACGGATTTTCGAAAAAAAGATGAATTATATATGGAAAATTTAAATATTATTAAATTCTAGTTTTTACATTTTGTTATTATTTATTGATTGTTTTTATGAATGTTAATTTAATTTATAAAAGTAAATAAATAAAGGCTAATCTTAAAATTCCTTCAAAAATGTATAAAACCTTTTGTTTTTTCTTCTAAATTACTCATTATAATAAAAGTGATATAAGTAATTATTTTAAAAACTTGAATTATAAAGTATTCTAAGATATTAAAATATAAATAAATATACGATAAAAAAAAATATACAAGAAGTAAAAATAAGATTATGTAAAAAAAAAAATTTTAAATATAAAAAATAATCTAATTTAAGAGATAAAAATAAAGTCAAAGGCATCATTTTTTAAAAACTTTTAATAATAATTTTTATTACATATTTAATTTATAAATAATTAGTATAATATATAAAAAAGTCTTTTATAATGTAAAATATACTTTGCAATTTATATAAAATAATAAATAATTAATAATTTTTAAATCAATATATTTTAAAATTATAATTATATTAGTAATTTTTTTTTTTTTTCAATTATTTGTTTTAAAGCTTATTTTAAGTATTATAATCATTCTTTAGGATATCCGAAAATATTGTTTAATTATTATTTGAATTCTTATTTATTATTATATTATTTTTATTTAATTAAATAATATATTTTTATTTTTATTTTTAAATTTTATTAGCGCCAAATAATACTTTTTCTATTTTTTTTTATTTTATTTTTTATTCTTATAAATTTTTTAATTCCAAAAGACAAAAGATTTTTTTTAATTTTATATCTTTTAGAAATGCTTTAATTTAAACTTTAACAATTTTCGTAAATAATATATTTTTTCGTTAATTTGTTTGTCATTTTTACAATTAAAAACGCTCTCTATTATTATTTTTGATTAATAAATAAATTCCATTATTAAAATTTTCTTTATTTTTTTTAAAAAATCTCATATTTAAAATTATTATCTTTTAATATTTTATAAAGTCGATTTACGTTAAAAAATCTCAGTATTATTATTACAAATATTTATTTATTTTAATTCAAATTCTCTTATTTATTTATTATGTTAAATCATAAAGAATTTATAAAATTAAATATAGTACTAAATAATTTAATTCTTTATATTTCTCATATCTTAAATATATAATTTCTTATTATAATTTTTTTGCATGTATTTAATTAATAATTCAAATTAAACTAATATCATCATCTAAAAACTTTAGTTAGTTTAGCAACTAAACGTATGTTAAGTAATTTAAATAAAAACTGAAAAAAAAAAGAAAAGAAAGTAAATTACATATAATTAAATAATAATAATAAAAAATCCTTGTCTGTGAATTAATTTTAATGAAAAATTAAAAATGATTAATTAATATTGGATAAAGATAAGATTCGGAAAGGTTTCCTCTAATAAATATACTGGAATACAAATCCATATTTTTAAATATATAACATCAGGCCTTATAGCTCCTGAAATATCTAAATTTATTAAAATTTAGAGTATATGGCTGTTTAAAAAAATAATAATACATATATATATGTATATTTTTCATTATTAAAATAATAAAGGTGTTATTATATGAAATATAAAGTTATTCGAATTAAGAAATTAGTTAATGGACTTTTAAAATCAAATACATAAAAATACATAAAATAATTATTTATATAAAGTTAAAATTATGTATTTTTATTTATTTTCTAATATTAATTTTCGTTGAGTATAAAATAAGTTAAAATTTTATATAATTTAATTTTCTTATATTATATTATTCAATCGCTTCTAATTTTTTAAATATTTTAAACAAATATAAATATTATTTATTCTATGTATAAATATATAAATATAAATAATATGATTAAATAAAAAAAAATATAATAATATATATATTAAAAAGAAAAAAAAATATATATATAAATTTATTTTATATATTAAATAAAAAAGTAATATATAAATTATACAAAAAGTAAATAAAATACTAAAAAATTAATTAAAAAATGAAAATTTTTTAATTTTATTATTTAAAGCATTTAAATAGCACTTAAATATAATAAATAAATAATAATAAAATAAAATTTTACGGTTTAAAAGTGCGATTTTTTTTTTTTTTATCAATTGCCTTATAAATATAAGACATAAATAATCACACACCCAAATCTTCCCTAATCCATTTTTCATTTCATATCTGCTATTTCTTAGAACAAGAAAAATTCACATAATAATCAAACCAATTAATTATTACGGAAAACCAGTAAATATAATCAAGAACCTTTAGTTTTCATGAGAAAACCTTTCTAGAATATAATAACAGATAAACTAATCATTTTATATGCTTATGGAAATTCAAAGTCAAAGAACTTATAAATGTACATCAAACTTCTAAAGAATTTGTTTCCGCTAGAAGAGCTACAAAACTACTTAATATAAATGGCCTTTTACTTCCTTATTAATCTGATAATTATCCACTTATTACTAATCCTAATATAGAATTAAACATATTTATATCGTATTAAATTTCTCATTTACTCCCTGTTTATTTTTTAATGTAGGAATTAGTATATAAATTTTTTTTATAAGCATTAATGTAGGTATTTAATCAAAATTACAACAATTATTGGACATAATATATTTATTTTAAATCAGTATTGCTTTAGTTCTTATTTAATCAGAGTAAGTATGCAGAATACTAAGGAGATGTTTTTGAATACTCAGGTGAGGTTTTGGAATAGGATATTTTGTAGAATAATATTTTTATTTTATTTTTTGTTTATTATAATCATTTTATTTTTTAATGAATATATAAAAATGGCTTTAAATAATTTTAAAAATAGTTTTTTAAAAAACATATTTTATTAATATTATATCTTAATTAAATTATTTTTATTAATATTTATATAATTTATTCAATTATAATATATAATTAATATTATTTGGATAATATAATTATTAAAAAATAATTAATAATATATTAATATATTTATATTAGACAATTATATTTTTTATATAATTAATTAAATTTGAAAAATTTTTTTTTTTTTAAAAAAAAAATATTATATGTATTTTATTTATATATTATTTATCTATTTATTGATTTATATTTGATATTATTTTCAATAAAATTACTTCTATTAAAATAATAAGAATATAGTTTTTTAGATATATATATATATATATATAGAATATCAAAGGTATAAGAGTAATTATATTTATAAAAATAATTAAAAATGTTAACTTTTAGATATATATTTATTTAACTGCTACTTCTTTTTATTTATACATAGCTACATTAGATTTAAAGTATTTTTTTATATAAAATAAAAATAATTAATACAAATAGAATACACAATATTTTTTTCATTTTAAATAATAAACCTTATTAATTATATTTTTAATTAAATTTTAAAAATGATTTTAAAATCATTTTTTTATAATAATGAATTATAATTTTTTCATAAATCTTTCTTGACAATAAATTTATTTTTAATAGAGGATTTAAAATTAAAATATTTTACCCAAATTTTTCAAATAATATTAAAAGCAGGCATTATTTAATTTTAATTATAAAAAATATTTTCTTTATATTTTTAAAAAAATTTAGTGTGTATTAATTTTTTTAATTTTAGTTGACATAATTAATAAATAAAGTATATATGATTATTATTAAGAATAATATTCTAATTTATTAATATTTTATAAGAAAGTAAACAACAATAATAGTTTTTTCATTTAAAAATTTATTTTTTATAAAAAGTAATAAACCATTTAAATTAATTTTTAAAAATTATGGTGAAATTCATAAAAAAATTTAACTAATATATTTATGAGCTAATTTATTACGAAATTTTATTCATTAAAATAGTTAAAACTAGATTTTAAATATATAGAAGTTTGATTTAATAAGAAGGTAATAATATTTTATTGAAAAAAATTATAATTTATTGGATATTACTTTAATATGATTATAGATGATTTTTAAAAACCAAATCGTATCATGCTTTGACTTTCAAAAATACACTCTTGGTATAAATTTAACATATATAGCTTTTTTAAAAAAAAATAATAATTTGAAAAAATTTACGATTTAACAAAAGACCTTTATTCTTACATATTTTTAATTAATTTTTTTTTTTATTAATAATTAAAATTCCGGAAGTACTTATCTGGTATTATATATATATGTTTTTCTATAATTACTGTAATATTTAAAGCTTAAAATTAACTTTTTAGATGGATTAGTATTGAATAATATGACTTTTTCTAAAATATCTTATCTACAAAATATGAGTCTTTTGTTTCGATTTAAGAAAGAAGATTTTGTGTAAATATCCTTTTAAACTATATTCCTTAACTTATACTCTTTTAATGGTACTTAATAAATTTAATTTTAATAAAATAATAATGACCTTTATATTGCCAAATCTTTTATAAATTTAGATAAAATAACTCTAAAAATAAATAAGATAAAAATCGAAAGAGAAAAATAACAAATTTAAAAAATAAAAAAGCTTATTTATTATTAAAATATGAGAAGATGAAAAATAAATAGTTTGAAAACATATTTAATTATAAAAAATATTTGATATTAAAATAAATATATAAATAATAATAATTTAAACAAAAATAAAAATAAAGAAGATATTTTTAAAAAATATAAGATTAATTGTATAGATATACAAAATTAAAAAAAAAAAATGAAAAATAAAAAATTAATAGTTATTTAAAGCATTTTAGGTATATAAATTATATAATACCAATAATCGTATAAAAAATTAATTCAATTAAATTATTTTAGAAACGAAAATAAAAAATAAAAGTATTGTAAAAAATAAAAATAAGAAAAGATTAAAAAAATTAAATTAAAAATGATAATTATTATGTATTAAAAATAAATAAAAAAAAAATACAAAAATTATTATTAGTAAATATAAAAAATATATTAATGTTTATTTATTTAATAAATATTTTAATATGAATAATTATTTTTTTAAACTAATATTATTATTAGGAAATATATTATTTTTATAATATTATAAAATAATGAAAATAAA